TTAGTGCAGAAACAAAGCTAAGGAGCATTACATATCTGTCACCGGGCCTTCAAGGGTGATAGACCTCACTCAGGAGGTCGTGGGAGAGTAAGTCAAAGGCAGTCTCCAATGCAGGACCACAGACTGCTTGGGGCAGTCAGAGTTAGGAGCTTTTCCACATAAGAGGTGAGGAACCAAACATTGGGCAGCCCAGCACCCACCTTGACTCTTTCTGCCCTATCGTGGTATATTTACCTATCACAATGAGAGAAACGGTAAGGTGGCTCAGTGGTCAGCACTGCTGCCTCAGAGTGCCAGGGACCTGGGTTCAATTCCAGCCTCGGGCAATTGTCTGTGTGCAGTTTGCACATTTTTCCCGTGTCTGCGTGGGTTTCCTCCGGGTGCTCCGGTTTCCTCCCACAGTCCAAAGATGTGCAGGCTACGTGGATTGGCCATGCTAAATTACCCATAGTGCTCAGGGATGAGTGGTGTAGTGGGGACAGGTTCTGGGTGGGATGCGTTGAGGGTCGGTGTGGATTTGTTGGGCCAAAGGGCCTGTTTCCACACTGTAGTGATTCTAAACAAAAAATTCTAAACAGGTGTTACAGGAGATGAAATTGGGTAGCGTAACTGTTACTGTTTCTGCAAGTTGTGGGGGTATGTGCTGGGCAAGCAGTGTTTGAGATATCAATGATTCTGGTGGGTGACAACAAGGGAGGGAAGCATTGCATGTGATGGTGAGAATGGTACAGGATGACCCCTGGTGTAGATGGCTGGAGTGAATGTCAGCTAGCAGAGAGAAGATGATGGGCATCATATCCTGGAGGAGTGGAGAAGGTCATTGACCTTCTTCCCACATTGATGGCCATTCCTCTAGACTGCTGAGACTGCTTTGACCTGGGTGGAAAACTCCGACTGTGCTTCCATGATCTGGTGTTGTAGCCTCCACTGCTGGCTCTGGGGGAATAGGAAGAGCCATGTTTGTATGAAGCCATCCAGCAGGACTTCCAGGACCCTGCTCACAATGTAGGATGCAGATTGCACCCTGTCTGCAATGTCTAAGTAAAATGTCAAGAACTGTGCAGGGAAGTTTCAGACTGACAGTGCTTGTCCAGGTGCACAACGGGCTTTTATATATGGCACAAAATAACAATTAAAATGAAAGCTTAGTAAGTTACGGTGAGAAAACTGGCTTGGTCTTAAAGTGGGAATCACTCCACCAAACTTACCATGACTCACACCAAACCAAAAAAGTGTAAGATTCTACCTTTTCTTTTCTATTGGACTCTGAGCCGAGGTCTGACCTCATCCTCATCATTGCTAAAAGTTTATTCATAATATCGTCTGTCTATACCCTTATTCTGGTTGCTGCCAAAACCCTCATTCACGGTCGCATTACCACCAAACCTGACCATTTCAACGATCTACAATTGTTAAATAAAACAAAGAACTGCTGATGCTGGAAATCTGAAACAAAAACAGAAATTGCTGGAGAAGTTCAGCAGTTAGGCTAAATTTATTTCTTAAGTTTTTGAATTTGCACTTTATACTGCTCAGCTTTTCCAAAGCACTTTCCTATTAAAATCTATCTTTAAAAACTGATCCTTGACTAAGCCTTTGATCACCTTTGTTTTTACTCTACTGTTAGGTTTTATCTGACTTTGCTGGTGGGAACATTTTACTGCATTAACAGAGCTGTACAAATTCAACATGATATTGATAACATTTTTCCTACAAAGTCACAGATGTTTCAAAGTCATTGCAAGTGTACTGAAAATAGCTGCTAGCCTGTTTGCTGTGATTCCATATGTGTTACACTTTCTGCGTTAGCATTTCGAAAATCTGTTCTTTATGACTAAGTTCAGCAGCAGTCCATTAATATTTCCTATACAAAGCTGTGTCTTGATGTATTGTTTACTGTATCATTGACAGTTAATGAACGTACTTTCTGTAGAAATAGCCTCGCCACTGTAACATCTCAGTAATAAGTGGTGCCATAGTACGATCAGGGGCAGCTTTTAAATGTTATTTTAAGAAATGCCTCTGCCCTTATTTTTTTGGACCAAAGCTCCTCACATTAAATTGGAACATATGATTGATTTCAGAGGAAATAGTAAGAATCTGAGCCAGTTAGGAACATAAAATGACTGGAGTATTTAGTTCACAAAGTGTAATTCCACTAACCTGAAGGGAAGATTCCAACTTAATGTTAATCTGAAACACATTCCCAAACCTCAAGGAGAAATTTGTGCGTTTTCCTCTATTTTCCCTTCATCTTTTTGGCCTGCTGGGTTGACTTTGACCAGACTCAAAACTTTGGGTTGTCATTCTATAGCAAACCTCTTTAAAACTCTTGCCAAACCCATTATAATCTGACAATTGCCCTTTATCATTAATCCTCTGGGATCTATTGAATCACAAGAATTCCCTATTGCTTTGAGTAACTGGTTAAAGAACTGAAAACAAACCAAGGCATAGATCTCAGTTTTTATTGCCTGTGTGTTAGGCTTCACTCAGATTGACTGCAGCAAGAAGCAGCTGGAGGTAAGGGTCACTTGCTAGAAAAGGTACCTTCTGATCGTTTTCGTCACAGACATTAATAGAAGAAAACCAGCAAGTTCTGGAGGGCGTGCATTGGACCTCCCTGCTCGATATTTAGTTGCAGATCTGCTGAGGTAATGCTTTTCAAAGCAAAAAAATGATAATTTAGTGCCTGAGTATTATATTTGCTTTTCTTTCTCTTTTATTCCCTCCTTCATCGAAGGTATTGACTCACATTGGGATTCAACATGTGGCCAGACCTCCAGCATTTCAATCATTTTACATGGCAGAGCATGAACTGTGAATGTGAGCAGGATATTTGATAGTCTGGGGATAAGGCCACCAGAGGCAGCTCGGATCCCGTTCCCATTTCATACGTTTATCCAGTGCACTAGACTAGCGAGCAGACACAAGCAGAAACCCGAGGTGGCTTTTCCTGCGCACGGTCTTGGGCATTAAGGACGACTTCTGTGCCCTAACAGAAGTCAGGAATTATACAACTATGAGTCGGCCACAGGGTGCTTATCACCGGACCAGCAGAGGACCTTAAAATGTATTTTTTCATCAGAATTCAGGTTTGGCAAGCCTGAAGTAAATAAATGCATGAAGCCAGATCCAAACCAATTGCAAAAACGAAATGCTGTGAAATACAACTTTGATGAAAGTCCAGCTAAGGAGTGGGTCATAAACCATAGCTCCAGTACCATCAACCAGTCATCCTTGATTGAATGAGGCCATTTATGGTGATAGGAGACAGGATTAGGCAACAGGACTGTGGTCATTCTCAGATTTGATCGTCTCCAGCCTCAGGAACCAGCCCATTCTCCTTAAGTGGATGGGAAACTTAAATGTGGCCTCCAAATTTGCTGGCTGCAGGGAGATCACCCAAGCAGATAATGTCAGGTCACGCCTCACTTATTTTTAAAAATGCACTAGATTCGTAACTTCTTAGGTAATCCAGTTTCCCCCACGACTGTGCTTGTTTGCACGGCCGATCCACATGTATACTAATTGTAAAGGATTGCTGAGCTCCCTATCTCTGAAATGCTGATCAATTCACTTTGTAAATATGACTGATGCATTTGAATAAAGGAGCTATGGTATCCGCTGGAAAAAGCGGAGAAAGCAATTTGAAATGACAACTTAAGCATTTGTAAAAGAAAAATTCCACAATTAAATTCCAAACGAATGGGCGATTTTAGTGAGTTTGTGCCTTGGTGGGCATACCACTTTAGAATCAGAGATGGGAAAATAAAAGTTAGGAACATCAGGAACAAAAACAGAAGTTGCTGGAAAAGCTCAGCAGGTGTGGCAGCATCTGTGAAGGAAAAAATCAGAGTTGACCGTTTTGGATCCGGTGACCCTTCCTCAGAACTGATGGTAGCTGGAAAAACATTGGTTTATATGCAGAAAAGAGGGAGGGGGTTGTGGTAGGGAGTAAGTGACAGGATAGAGCCTGAAGAGAGGGAAGAGCAGTTGGATAGACAAAGGAATTGATAACGATCTGGTTATGGGGGTGGATAGCTGTTAATGGGGACTGTTAGTGACTAACAATAGATAGTATGTAATGGCAGGCTATGTGATAACAAGGCCTGGTGTGTGGGGTAGCGGGCTGGGACATGAGAGAGTTTAGGCCCTAAAATTATTGAACTCAATTGAGTCTGGAGGGCTGCAGGTTGGGCTGAGGACATTACCCTGAGGAACTCCTGCAAAGATGTGCCAGAGCTGAGATGACTGACCTTTAACAATCACAATCATCTCTGCATATGCCAGGTATGACTCCAAACAGCAGAGAGCTTTTCCCCTGATTCCCATTGATTCCAGCTTTAGTAGACAGTTGGACAAATCTGGCCTTTGTGTCAAGGTCTGTCACTTTCACCTCAACTCTGAAATTCAGTTCTTTTGTCCATGTTAGAACCAAGGCTGTAATGAGGTTAGGAGCTGTGTGGCCCTGGTGGAAACCAGACTGGGTATCACTGAGCAGATTATTGCTGAGCAGGTGCTGCTTGATAGCACTGTTGATGAGACCTTCCATCACTTTACTGATGATTGAGAGTAAACAGTAATTGGCTGAATTGGATTTGGCTTGGTTTTGTGTACAAGACATACCTGGCCAATTTTAAACATTGTTGGGTCGATGGCAGTGCTGTAACTGTACTGGAAGAGCTTGGCAAGGCGTGTGGCAATTTCTGGAGCACAAATCTTCAGTACTATTGCAGGAATAATGTTAGGGCCCATAGCCTTTGCAATATCCAACTGTTTCATTATAACACATGGAGTGCCTAGATAGAGAGAACATGGAGAAGATGTTTCCACAAGTAGACGAGATTAGGATCCAAGGTAACAGCCTCAGAGTGAAGGGACAACCTTTTAGACCTGAGATGAGGAGGAATTTCTTCAGCCAGAGGCTGGTTAATCTGTGGAACTCATTGCTACAGAGGATTATGGAGCCAAGTCATTAAGTGTATTTAAGGCAGAGATAGAATAGAATAGCAATTTATTGTCACGTGTATTGTTACAAAACAAAACAGTGAAACATTTTATAAGTTGTCACACCACGGCAGCTAAATTAATGACAGAAGTCATAAACAGGAAAAAAAAAGTTCATCACCATTCAGTTAACGGCTCCTAGATTTGGGGAATGCTGGAAAACTGGGTCAAAACCGTCACACAGTGCCAGGCTGAGAGCATAACACTGGGCTGAGACAGCCCCGCCACACCAAGACAAGACCTCTATGCAGGGCTTTTGGAAGACCCGGAAGCCACTTCTGAAGCGAGGATGAGACTTCCATGCCAGACTGCTGGAATACCTAGCAACCACCGAAGACAACCACCAATACAGGGCAAGATTTCCGTGCCAGGAGACCACCTCTCCTGGATAAGACTACCACACTGGGAGACCACCCCGCTACACACCAGGCCTATACTGCCAGTCTGGGACATTGGAAGGCATCTTGTTGCTGGGCCTCAGCCAGGAGAAACCACCTTCTGCTGAAGTCGTTAAAAGATGATAAGGTGCCATAATAAATAGAAACATTAAAGAAAAAGCATAGAAAAAATAAAAAGTAATGTGGATGGAGTAGACGAGTTCCAGTCTCCTGGGCTGAGGAGCCTGGACATTGCACTACCACTCTGCCACCGTCTTGTGGAATCAAGGGTTACAGGGAGAAGGCAGGAGAAGAGAACCATATCAGCCATGGTCAAATGGTGGAGCAGACTCGATGGTTGCATGACCTAATTCTGCTCCTATTCCTTATGGTCTTTCAGTCCTCATGTGGTTATAACAAACATATAAATCATGAAATTAGATATTTACTCAATAACCCAAATTTCTCAGTGATGACATGCAGTTAGTGGAGATTGTTTTTGTTCTCTCTATCCTTTCGTGGGCTGTTGCCATTAGTGTCAATGGCACTATTTGTCTCCCATTCCTGACTGCCTTTGTACCAAATAGTCTATTTTGCCATTTCAGAGAGCAGTTAATAATCAAGCACATTACCATGGGTCTGGAGTCACAAGTAGGCCAAACCAGGCAGGGATACCAGTCTTCCCTCCTTAATGGAACTTTGTAAACCCGATGGTTTTTTACAACAATTGATGTTAGTTTAACGGTCTTCATTACGGAGACTAGTTTTTAATTCTAGATTTATTAATTGAATTCAAATTCTACCAGCTGCTATGGTGAGATTTTAATCCATGTTCCCCGTGACGTTACCACTATGCACCACCTCCCCTTGGCTTGGAATGTAGTCTGATTTGTGGATGTGAATTGCTTCAGGTGAATGGGCTTTTGAGCCAGTGTAACACTGATACTGCAGCACAACCCATCTATTTTTAACATTTCATCACCTTTAGCACTATTCCATTTGATTCTGCCTAGCTTTCACTGATAGTTGAGAACACATCATACTGAAGTTGAATATTGAAGAGCATGTGATTATAAAAGCTTTTCAATTTTGATGATTCAGATTGATGCCTTTGAAGGAAACAGAAAATACAGTGCTAGTCTCTCTGAAGGTAAAGGGCTTTGTAAAAAAAAAACTTGAGGAAATGGCAAGTATATACCAGAAAAATGGCTGTTACCCACCTCCCCTCAGATTTGGGTGTACTTTTTATACCTCTTATGAGCCCATTAATTTTACAACTTTGTACATATTGCCCTTAATCTACAAATGAGAGCCATTATAATAAGCCAAGTTACACCAATTTGTAGCAATCAATACAAGAAAGTAAAAGACCAAGGCATTTTGGGCATATTGCCTTTACAGGCTTTCTTGATATTTTCTTCTGCCAAGGACTTGTTGTATCTCAAACATGTATCTCAAACACCAGAAATTTCTCCCATGTTAATTCATGCTAATGAGACCTGAAATTTGACCTCTTCTATATTTTAGATCTATCCCCATGAGGAATTAGCTTCAGAATGTGCAGTCTTATTTTACTCACAATACTAAATGGAATTCCCTCCCTAATGACATTGTGGGTCAACCCACAGCAGGTGGACTGTAGCAGTTCAAGAAGGCAGCTCATCACCACCTTCTCAAAGGCAACCAGGGACAGCAATAAATGTTGGCCCCGCCAGTGATGCCCACCTCCCATAAATGAATACATTTTAAAAACAGTAGACAGAAGAATCATTCTGACAAGTTCTGTGTGCAATTCCTTGTTACACCATCCTTTCCAACATAAATGACCATAATAAGTTGATAGGTTTTATTTAAATAGGTGTTAACTTAATAAAAACAATTTATTTTCCCTCTTTACAGCCTTTGATCAATTCAGCTTTATTCAATAGTGTTTCAGGACTTGTGTTTGCACCATCACATTCAAAACAGTCAGCAGCACAAGTTGAATTCTCAGGGAAGGCTTGAAGCAAAAGCAATTAGCCACTTTCAGGTTTAACTGATGCTGTGGTTGGAATGGTTGAGGACACTTGTTCTATACTGTACATAGAATAATCACCAATCTGTCAGTATGCAGTCGAAGATCAACATGACAGAATGCTATGCTTTGGGCTAAAAAAAGGTGACAAGCTGAAGCACGATCGAAAAGATCCTATTCAGTGATGAACACATGTGCTTCCTTAAGGACAAAATACATGTATAGCATTAGTACAAGGTAAGTCCTTAGCTCTAGCATAGCTTTTGTATCATGAGGCCCATACAGGCCAGGCTTCTCAGTTAAAGGTGGCATCAATGGTATACCCAATACTGTACTATCTCAGATGTTCCTTCCAAATCTGCGAAAGACCAGTTTTATGTGATTTTATACACCAGTGGTAACATGTTGTTCTAGTTTTTGTCCAAGTTCAGATAGATTTAATTAAGGCTCTTATCACCTAGTTCAGTTGAAGTTGCTTCTTGGTTATCAGTTACATTCGGGTTCCAACAGCATTGCCAGGAACCAGGCATGTGTATCATTTCTTTCATAAATAACCTCTATTCTTTAGCAGATCACCATAAACATGGGACTTTGTGAGATCAGTTTATCAGTTTATATCCTGGGTGGTGCTCTGTTTGATCTTTTACACTCCAGGGAAGGTCTCACATTGTCCAAAGATGCTCAAATAGTCCAGTAGGTTGAAATCTATAAACAGAATAATCTCTCCTGAATTATGACAAAGATTTTCCCTGAAGCCCTCAGCTGAACCTGTCCAGTTTGTCAACTGCAAGCCAATTAAGTCAATCAGAAATGGAAAGAGGGTACACTTCCATCATTGCTCCTTGTTCATGGCATGGTGAGAAACACTCCCATTGGCGGGTAAATTACCCAACCATTAATGTGCTGTGTCATCCCTGTAGCAAAAGGGACCTTTTCAGACCTATCTGCAGGATCAGCAGAGCTGTCTGAGTGTTGGTACAAAACAGCGAGAATAATACACCACAACCTATTCCTGTTCAAGAAATTGATTTCATGGACATCACATTGTAGCTTTTTTTGGGAAAAATTATAGATCCTCAAAATGATTCCTGATATGCAGATGTTTTTGTCAATGACAAGAAAACACATTTTAAATTTGTTACTGAAGCTGTTATATCCATTCTTTCTGATTCTGTACTATAGAATGAGCTGTACTTTCCACAACCATTAAACATCTGATTTGTGAGGAACACAAGGTACTAAAATGAAAGCCAATGACAGTTTCATGGCACATTTTGTATAATTTACATGAGTTTACAGATATTCTGCAAGTCATTTGTAATCACCAGTATTTTTCACTGGATGGTGAGGTTGCCTTGCTCTGAAACTTCTTCAATCAGTGGCAGTTGATGGCTATAATTTACTGACCTTCCATTCCCAAGATAACTGGTGAGTTTTCTAAGACTTCCATTCTCTACAGGACAGGACATGTGCAGTGGAACACAAATGTACTGGACATGAAGTCGCCAAGCTATATATTGCAACGTTATACCTGCTCTTTGCCAACAAAATATGCAAGTTGAAAAACGCCATCCATCATTTTGGTGGTTTGATTGAGGAAGAGATCTAGCCATGCTTGTTCAACACAGTGCACTGCGTAACAAACTCAGTTGTGCATCAGACCTGCCCTCATTACAATGATAGAATTGTACCAGTGTTATACAATTCCAACATCCTGCTCCTGTCATCACATGATATATCCTGCCTAGACATTCATCCTTCAGCCAAAATTGTTTATGTGGAAAAAATCCTTAATTTTTAAAATTATTTGTTCATGGGACATGGACATTGGACATGGACATGATGTCCATGTCCCATTTGTTGTCTAGGTTCCTTGGAGAAAGTGGTAGTGAGCTGCCTTTGAGCCATTGCAGTCCTTGGATTATAGAGATATGCACATTCATAATTGGAACTGAGTTCCAGGAATTTGATCCAGCAACAGTGAAGAATTGATTGATTAGTTCCAAGTCAGGTTGTTCTGTGGCTTAGAAGGGAACATTCAGGTGCTGGTGTTCTCACAATGCACTTCTTTTACCCTTCTGGACAGTACAGGTTGCAGATTTAAAACGTGCGGTCAGTAGTGGAGAACAGTTCACTGGTCCATTCTGCTTACAAGGTGGCTGGCTAAACAATGGGCTTTTCTCAGTCTCTTACTATATCTATGAGTCATTATACCCCATCAGTTTTTCAAACAGATACCATTGAAGTTCTTATTTCTCCAAACCAGCAGATGAGAGTACTGCCATGATAGCTCTTTGACAACCAAGTCATCCTTTTAGCTTGAAACCTTCTTCCCTATAAAACATGTTAACAGATTAATACAGAACCTTTCTATAGATCGATTTCCTTCTTATCCTCAGTAGAATTCTCTGTATTCACCTTTCTATCTCTAGATTTTTTTTTACCTTTTTTCCACATCTACGCATTGATTAACTTCACCCTCCAGATCCTCTGCTCATAGCTTTTCTTGCGCTTGCAAAGCATACAGTATCTGGCTTTAACTTCCTTCCTGTTGGTAGTGCTTCCTGTTTAAGACCCACCGTGTCATATCGATCAGCATTTCTAACATCTAAGAAAATTAAAGTTGATCCTTTTATAACTGGTCAAACCTCTTAAAAGCTTTTTTTGAACATTATCAGGAATAAATATAGATTCCACAGGCATTTTAAAGAAACAACAACTGTTCTTTCAGTACTGCTTCCAGGTCAAAGATCAACACAATGTATCAATTCATGAGCATAAAAAGGATAAACTCAGTTCAGATTTTACCCACTGGCAGCAGACTATTTTTTTTCCTCTTGATTACATGTAATATTTTATAACTACTTAAAAGTTATCAGACAGGACTCACAAAAGTATACAAGAAAAACCTTTCTGTTTTTATTATAGCTTAAGGAAAAGTATAACACTTTCAAGGGAGATAAAGAACATCTGTTGCCAGCAATGCTATTGTTTCCAGTTTTATTTCCCGAGTATGACAGTCAGCAGTTTCTGCAATTTGATCCAGGCAATTTATGAGTTGCGAGAATTCCAACAGTCCTGAATATTTCAGGCATGCTATCTGCAACTTAGATCACTGGCAGAAGAACCTTTCCAGCACTAGAAACTCGGTCTGACATGAACTTTGAACTTCCAATGTTGGGACTCCTGTTATTTACTTGTGTTAGAATAAGATTCTTTGAAACTATTTTCCAAAGCAACAAAATGTAAAGACAATGCTGTACAAAATTGGACTCCTGAGGAATGTAGATAAACCTGAGTAAATTGTCAAAATATTGGGTTTGATACTGTCTGTCACACAGTTTGATTATCCATCGATATTGCTAATGTGAAGGGATTAAACAGACAATCCCATATTTTATGGGATAATTCATAAATATATAATTAAAGTGTTTTATCATTATACTTTAATTCATGCTAGAGAGAATGAATACTAAAAGATGTACTTTCTCTGGCATTGCACTAGTTGATGCTTTTAGTTAAAAATATCTTTGCGTGTTATTTTAACATAGTCACTGACCCTCATTAGAATAAGGCTAATGACTGAGCTAAAATAGCAAACAAAGGAATTTTACTCAAATGTGCTAGCTCATACACTTTTGGAGGAAGCCAAACCCCGTGGTTACGAACAATGTATAGTGCAATTGTGAGGGCTTAACCTGCTCTGATGTTTTGAATGGATTTGAAAGGAAACAACAGGAGCCATTTGCACTATTGTGTTTACTTGTGGGTGCCTCATGCAGTCTTGGTCAGGCTTAGTCTGATATCCCTTCAAGCTATTTGTGTAATGTTGACTAGGCAGATATTGGCTGTAAGGTACCGATACTGACTAGAAAATTTCTGTCAGTGTTAAACATTATGTTATTAGCAACTATGTAGTCAGAGGACATATGCTCCAGTGTTCTGCAATTCAAATGTTTTGCACCTAGTCAACACTTGCATCTAAATGACCTCAAGATGTTCAGCTTCAGGAGCCAGACAGTGCATGTTATTGATACTCAAGGATGGAGCTTTCAAAATTGACATCTTTACACACCACACATGTGGTAATTTTGCCCAACTGAAATGGGCATGAAAGCTCAGCCATGTTGCCACAGCGCCAATTGTGTCAGTCTGTGTTTCCTGGCAGACATAACACAGTTATTGCTTTCAGTGCACCTCAGTTATTTTAGTTAATTAGAGAGTATGAGCCAGAGCAGAGAGGATTTGTCAAGAATATCCAGGTAGCACCTGAAGCACACTGACTGCATGTTATGGCATAAATCCCTGTAAAATGCTCGATGAAAGCTGATTCCAGAATCTCAGCTTTAGAAATGAGCCATTTGTAAAGCCGTTTCTTCTGCTTCAGGAGGTCTGAAGCCAATCCTCAGCAGAGAGATAGCTTACTCAATGATCTTTAACCTTCGATCTTTCCAGCAGTTTCAACAAATGTCAGTGTAATAAACTGGTAAACCCAATAACTTGTTCAAAATAGTACTATAACAGAACTGATAAATTTCACTGGATTGCTAGCTTTACATCCACCTGATTTAACTCTCCACCAAAGTGTAAAACCAGAATTCCCTAGCTTTCTCACCTGGAAAATTATTTTAAAATTACTCCTCAAAGATTTCTATGTTGCCCTTTGATCATTTGTGTGAGATTTCAGTGAGGAAATGGTCACTGAGAGATCTGCTCAAAATATCACTGGAGTTGCCATATGTGTTCATAAGAATATAGAGTATGTCATAGTTAAGGTACCTAATTGAGTTATTAATGGAAATAATTAAAGTAGGAGCCAGGAGAATGTCAAAAGATTTAATATATATGGACTCCCAGAGGCATTCAATTACTTTTCACAAATGAGAGTATTAGCTCTTGGAATTGAAGCCAGTTTTTCACAAAATTAAAAGATGGGTAAAGTAGTAAAAGACAGGAAGGAGGAATAATGAGTGTCTACACAGATTGGAAGGAACTAATCAGAGGTAGCACACGATTATCAATGCTGAGATGTCAGCGATCTAAAATATTTACCAGTGGATTGCATAACACATTATAAGGCATACATGCCTGTTGTTTAAATCTCAACATTTATTTACCGTCATCTGTAGATTTAGGCACGTTGTGTCTGTTACAAGTTCCAAATCAGGTCTATGATGGCTTATCATAATGGTCCACACAGATGTAGCAAGTTGATTCCTCCACAATCCTAACCAAATTTCATGACGTATTTTATGTGGACTGCAGCAATTCATAAAGATAATTACATTCAGAGTAAGTTCTGCTTTTATAAGTAGGTCAAGTCATGCAGAAAGAGACTAGGATTAATCTCTAATCAGGTTATTCATCAAAGGCATCAGACAATCTGACAAACCCTTAATCGCAAACCTTGACTTCTCATCAGGGACCCATCTGGGACTTATTAGCCAATATATATTGAGAAGTTTATGATGCCCAAATTTACTTCATGGCACTCCCTTGTTTCATCCAGTTCAAGTCATATTAACATTTTTACAAGCTAACTTTCCATCAAGATCACACAAACAACTGAGTGAATAAATTCTTCCTCTTAACTCTTAAGTTCTTAACTCCTTTCTAAGAATTATTTGACAGTTGGACAACAGTATTATGGACTAAGATATATTTATCAAGTTTGAGCTTAAACATCAATTATTTATAGTTAGAATTAAGTAACAAAACAAAGGAAAGTTTGCAAAGGCAGCTCATTTAAATTACAATAGTTCACTATTAATGCTGTTTTCTTTTTAAATTTACAATCAAGATTAATCAAAATTAATTATGATTGGTAGTGAGATTAATTTAGAATTAAAATCCTTCTATAATTGACAAGGGAATGGCAAGAGATAGCCAGGATATAGCTCATTTTCAAATGAACAATGTTCCCAGAATTCAAATAACCTCAGCTTTAATAACTGAAATGAGCAAATTGATTGTCTCATATTTCTTCAGGAGGATAATGTTAGTTTTCTGAAACTTCACAGTGATGAAACATTGCAAGGAGATCTCCAATGCTCATCTCCTGAAGGAAGTTTCTTTCCATGTTGGTAGCTTCAATTTGACTAACTGATATAAATTCCACCTCCTTATATATCTCTTACCCTGCAAAACGTTATATGTTGACATGACATACCATTATCTGCCTGATTCTGGTTGGATTGTATGCTTAATTACAATCTTGATGTTTGTAACCTCTTTCCCACTCTTTCAATCACACACACTCTCTCTGAGACATATTTCCTGTTTTTACAGAGACAATATCCATCAGGACAATGTCTTACATGAACGTTGACAAGAATTGAACTGGATCAGCATTAAAAAAATACTCGGGTCAAATGCTGGATCTTGAGGCACTTCTTGTCTTCCCAGAGCTTGTTCAACAACTACAAGACACAAGACAGAAGTGGGATGAAATGCTCCCCACCTGCTTGGATGGCTGCAACACCAACAATAATTAAAAAACTTATCAGGACAAAGCAAGCCGTTTGATTGGCACTCCATCTAACACTCATACATTCAACATTCATTCTTTCCATCACTGATGCACAGTGGCAGTGGTGTGTACTACCTACAAAATGCATTGCAACAACTCACCAAGGTTCATTTGAAACCACCTTCTTAATCTGTGACCTCTACCACCAAGAAGGACAAGGGCAGCAGTTGCATGGGAGCACAACTACCTGCAGGTTTCTAAATCATGTACAGAAATTGAAACAAGAGAAGGAAAGAAAAAAAATATAATTAATGGTGAAATGCAAAATGAATGAAAGATAAAGCTACAATACCCAACAATAATTAAAATCTGAAGAAATGATATTCAGGGGCACATAGGATGTTTAGCAGTCTTTAAGACTTAGCATTGCTGCTTCATGACCTTCTACGCCTTTCAATACTGATTATTAGTGCGATATTTTATGGCACACCTTATGGAGATAGCCAGGAAGGATAATAGCTACATGAATTATGTGTTTAACTGTGCACATGCAGTTAGTGAAAAGTTCCAACAAACTGTTCTGAGAAAGGGTCACTGGACCCAAAACGTTAACTCTGAATTTTTCCTTCACAGATGCTGCCGGACCTGCTGAGCTTTTCCAGCAACTTTGTTTTTGTTTTACAAACTTAATCCTTAATAACAGAAAGCATTAGCCTATCAACGATTAATTCTATTACAAAATTAAAGAAAAGAAATCCAGATTTCCCACACCTTCAGTTAATCCATTACCACCATTTTGTGCATATGTTTGGGTTTTGCTGCACAATCTGTTGCTATCAAAATCACAGAATTGTAGTGGTGCAGAAGAAGACACTCAGTCTGTGTCTGCACCAGCTCTCTGAGCATTTTGACTTATTGCCAATCTCCTGTCTTTTCCCCATAATGTAGAACATTATTTCGCTTTAAATATTAAACTAGTGCCCTCTTGAATACCTCAATTGAACCAGCACTCAATACAGCACTCTTCCATGTGGCATGCACATGAAGAATGATCATGCAGGAAAAATATCAGAACACCATCATTGCATATATTGTATTAAAAATCAGCAGCTAAGAGAGAAGACATTTAGAAAAGAGAGGAAAAAAAACATAACCTTTCACTAGTTTCTAGATTTGCCTTTTCATTTTCAGCAGCTTTCAAGTAATATTGTATTTTTAATCCTTTGAAAACTAATAGCAATTCCACTACTCCAATGTGAAATTACTATAACCATAAATTTTGAAATGAAATTGATTTATATCTTTTTAATATTCTTTTGAATATGGTCATGTTATTTCAACCTGATTATTTAACTGCAACTTCTGAATTAAGCCAAAGCATTTTTAATTCCACTTTAGTGCACCATTTGGCATTCTACAACACTGGCAATGTTGCCATGTTCTATTAATCAAAGTTAATTGAGGTAATATCAACCTCTTGTGCCTGGTTTTCACTGAATACAATTTATGCAACTGGAGGCATTAATCAGCAGGCTTGTAGGGAAAAAAAGTATTTTACCATGTATTGCTAATTTGATAGATTAATTGCAGATTTTCCTGCTGATTTAGCATTGCTGTTGGATAAAGGAAGTTGTTGGTAATTAAAATAGACCAACTCTCTGGATCTCATGTGCTGCTCAACCAAAAAGAAAATATAATTTGGTGACTAATCAGTCACTTGTGTAAAATTGCAAACTTGTGCCTGAAAGCCATCACAAGGGATTTTTTTTTTGTCAACTGGTATATTCAGTCCTGTAATTTTCCAATTCCAAAGGCATAAATTCCTGAATCTGACACTTTGACAGATTAAGACTAATGCATCTGCAATTTCCTCACCAATTTTACCCTCATGCAGACACCATCTGCATAGATAGAGATTATTTTTACATTAAGTCCCATTGTTTCATCCATTATCATTATTTTGACTTTATATTTTAAAAAATGTGACCCTCTCTTTGATTTTTTTTAAAATTAGCATAGTTATTCTGTTGCCATCCATCACTGGCAAAACAATTAGAAATTGCCAATTTTATGTATCTGCCAATTTTTAAACATTTGTTGTATCACTGTTGATCGTAGCTCTTAATCAGTCTTGTTAGCATTTCTGCTGCTGGTCACTTGACCACACCACCTATATTAATATTTAATGGATTTGTAGACAGTGAGACTCCTGAATTTAAGAATGTTATGTGATCCATCTTCCCTGACTTATTTATAGCCAAGGAAATCCAGAATATCCTCCTCAAAAATTACCAAAAGCTTGTAATTTCCTACCCCTCTTCCAAATAATTTCACTTGTGTTATGTGCCATCTGTCCTGCAAGCCAGGAATAACATTTTTTGAGATAATGTATTATAAAATACAATGATAGAAAGGTGACAACCTGTAGTAATTCAGTTTATGTCCAAGCATTAAGCAATTGAACTATTTTACAATGATTTTCATGTGGAACCATTGAATACTATAAAATACATGTATTAAGTTTTAATCTGGATATCTGTTATGCTACAATATGAGACAAGCACAGCACATAATGAGTTATAAATTTATTTAAGTACTTGGTAGGACAACCAATAATTTTTGGCACACACTGTGAGGTATATATTTTGCCGACTTATTTGATACTGAGAAGTGTTAATTGTGTCTAGAAAGTTCTTAAGGACTTCGTCATTTGCAGCTGGCCCCAGATTCCATGCATATTTTTCAAAAGTTTTATTCGGACCATGTTTGTCCACTTGGGGAAAATGTTCAGGTTAGATCCTCTTGAAGGACTTCAATTGATTATCTATTACACAGGAGTGTTGGTGATGTGCTGTTCTATTCAGATACACACTTTGCCAATTTTGCTTAGCTATCATTAACTGCTTGTTTTGAATGGATTCTGCATTGCTATGTCAGGTCTATGCAGGTTCTGTTACTACTATTGGGCTATCTGGTCATCATTTAGTCAGCACTTTAGGAAGATGAAATCTTATCCAACCGTTGTTCAATCAATACATCATCCCTGACGTTACCAACTGCATAGCGCAATGTACTGACCAGAAGTCGCCCACAAGTGATCCCTCTGTGTCCTGTCTTGCCCTGATATTCCTGAAATCACCATAAAACCACAAGATATGGAGCATAATTAGGCCATTCAGCTCATTGGGTTTGGTCCACCATTCGATCATGGCTGATATGTTTCTCAACCGCATTCTCTTGCCTTGTCCCCATAATCCGTGATCCCTTTACTAATCAAAAACCTATCTATCTTGGTCTTAAATACACTCAATAACTTTGCCTCCACATTCTTCTGCAACAGTGAGTTCCACAGATTCACATAAGACCCCTTCCCCTCAGATCCCTTTTAGCTTGTGGAAACAGTTCCCACGCAATGGGCCATGATTCTCTCCTGCCTTATGGCATTGATTTCATATTCAGACGGGATTCAAGCCGGGTCTTCTTTTATTATTTTCACGTCGCTTCCATCAGGTCACTTATAATTCTTCTCCTATCCAAGAAGAATCTCAACTTATTCAATCTTTTCCAATTGTTGTATCTTCACAGGTCTGGTAACATCTTTTCAGTTTCTTTTACACTTCTTCCAGTGTATTTCTTGTTTATTGCAATGTGTAGAACAGACCATGGTACTACAAGTGTGGTCTAACCAAAACAACTGCTTTTGAAATCTCATTGCTTCCGTGCACCACCATTGTATTCTTTTAGGCTCCTTCATATTAAACCCTAATTTTCTTGTTCTCAGATTAGGTAAATATAGGTACGTTGTAGTGAACTTCATACTGAATGTCTTGAGGTGTTGTGTAATTGTTTCTACCTTGTCTGGCTAACAATAATTGGGAAGCCACTATAAGGATGCTTGCAGCTAAGGCTCTTAACATGATGCATCAGTTGACTTTGCCTTTCCTATTCAATCTATCCTGTTGATCATAGCTAAAACATTTGCAACTACCCAACAGTGAGGAAAATACCTGGATACTGCTGTTTTGTACGCATCCAATCCATTGTCTACTCTCAATCATCAGTAAAAAGACAGAAGGTATTATTAACAGGACAACCAATTGGCTCTTAGCAATAATTTGCTCACTAAAGCTCAGTTTGGGATCTGAAAGGACTACTCAGCTCATGACATTATTACAGCCGTGATCCAAACACTGGCAGAACAGAATTCCCAACGTGAGGTGAGACCGACTTCCCTTGGCATCAAAGCAGCTTTTAACCAAATATAGCCTCAAGAAAACTAATAAAATTGAAGTCAATGAACATCAAAACTTTCACCTCATTGGAGTCATTCTTAGAACAATGATTTGTTGGAGTCTAATATGCTGCTGGAAAAGTTCCTAAAGGCAGTGACCCGTGTCAAACAGTCTTCAGTTGCTTTATCAATTGCCTTGCCTGAATCCTAAAGTCATAAGTTTTCCAAAGTATAATTCCATCTGCATCTCTTTAGATAAGAAGCCACTGAATCTCCTACAACAATATGTTAAGGGCTACCATTGACTAGAAACCTAATTAGGCCACTCAGACAAAAACTGTGGCTACGACAGAAGGTCGAAGGCTGAGAATTCAGCAGCATGTAAGTCAACTCGTGACTTCCCAAAGCCTGTCCTACTTCCACAGTGCACAAGTTAACGATGTGATTTTCCACCTTCCCCAATTCAAACAGCTTTCAGAACAAAGCAGGCCACTTGGTTAGCGCTGAAACACCACAATAACTATGGACTCCCTCCACTCCATGTGCATAGTGTCTGCATTGTGTATCATTGATGAGATTACTGCAGCAACTCACCAATATTCCTACAGTATCATCCAAATCTATGACCTTTACCACTTAAAAGAAAAGAAGCATCATATACATTGAGACGCCAGCGCCAAGTGCCCCTCCAAACAGTATAACATTCTGACTTGTAAGTATATCACAATGGAGGTGGAGTAGGACAGCTCCTCTGCTCCTTCTGTTTCCTTCTCTTTTTTCTCACTTCCTTCCACTTCTGGTGATTTTGGTCTCCTGGTGGCTCATGGTGGGTCTCGGCCTGGTCTCTCGGTGGCTCGTGGTGGGTCCTGACCTGGTCTCTCGCCAGCTCGTGGCAAGTCCTGACCTGGTCTCTCGGCAACTCATGATGGGTCCCAGCCTGGTCTTTTCAGTGGCTTGTGGTGAGTCCCAGCCTGGTCTTTCGGCAGCTCCTGGTGGGTCCTGACCTGGTCTCTCGGTAGCTCGTAG